TCTCCCTCTTCTCATTCTGGTGGTGGGTGACCATTCCCTGTCCTTGTCCCCGTGCTGGGTGACCTCTCCCTCTCCCTCTCCCTCTCCATATCCTGATGGTGGGTGACCTCCCAGTCTCCATGTCCTGATGATGAGTGACCTCTCCCTGTCCTCATCCCGGTGGTGGGTGACCTCTCGGTCTCCTTTTCCCAGTGGTGGGTGACCTCCCCCTGTCYWTGTCCTGRTGMTKMGTGACCTCATCCTYTCCTTGTCCTGGTGATGAGTGACCTCCCTGTGTCCTTGTCCTGCTGATGAATGACCTCTCCCTGTCCTTGTCCTGATGGTGGGTGACCTCTCCCTGTCCTTGTCCTGATGAGATGTCCCCTCTCCACATCCTGTCACTGGGTGGCCTCTCCCTGTCCTCTCCCTGTCCCCCACCCCTGCTCACTGTCCCCACTGTCCCCGGTGCAGGGACCGGGCACCGTTTGTCTTCACCTCGGACATGGCGTACGTCATCAACGGTGGGGACAAACCCTCGAGCCGCTTCCATGATTTCGTGGACCTGTGCTGCCAGGCCTACAACCTGATCCGCAAGCACACGCACCTGTTCCTCAACCTGCTGGGGCTGGTGAGCACCGGGGCACGGGGATCCCACTCGGCACGGGGCATGGGGCATGGGGCAGGGGCCTTTGGCACCTGTCCCTGTCCCCATCCCTGTTCCATCCCTGTCCTCATTCCTGTCCCCATATCTGTCCCCACCCCTGTCCCATTCCTGTCCTCATCCCTGTCTTCATCCCTGTCCCCGTCCCTATTCTCACCCCCACCTTCATCCTTGTCCCGTCCCTTCCCTGTCCCCACCCCTGTCCCATCCCTGTCCTCACTCCGTCCCCATCCTTATCCCTGTCCCATCCCTGTCCCCATCCTGTCCCATCCCTGTCCTCATCCTCATCCCTGTCCCCATGCCTGTCCTTATCCCTGTTCCATCCCTATCCTCATCCTCATCTGTGTCCTCATCCTTGTCCCCATCCCTGTCCCCATCCTGTCCCACTCCTGTCCCATCCCTGTCCTAACTCCGTCCCCATTCCCATCCTTATCCCTATCCCATCCCTGTCCCCATCCTGTCCCCATCCCCATCCCTGTCCTCACCCCGTTGCCACCCCTGTCCCCATCCTGTTCCCATCCTGTCCCATTCCTGTCCCACCCCTGTCCCATCCCTGTCCCCACCCC